GATACACACAAGTGACCACCACAACCTCCACATATGTTTATTTATGTGTTATACACATGCGCTAAGAACTAGCATAGTATGTGTATTATAAAACCATACCCACAAATGTAACTTTAAAGGAGGAGTTTGCATGTGTGTGTGCACGTGAATGTGTGTACGCATTTTAATATGGATTATCCTGAGCACCTCTTAGGATGCTCCCCACCCCCAACTTTGGAAACCACTGGTCTGTATCAGTATACATCCCATAAAGCAAGGGTGAGGCGGTTAGCAATCCCACAGTCCTCCTCTCCCTCTGGCTGATGGCTGAATTACTACTCTTCATTTCTTTCTTTTTTTTTTTATCCTCCCCTGAGGACATATTTGCATTTATCTTCAGACAGAGTGGGAAGGAGAGAGGAAGGAAGAGAGAGAGGGAGAAACATCGATGTGAGAGAGACACATCGACTGGCCACCACCCGCACGACCCCAAACCACAACCGAGGTACGTGCAAACCACAACCGGGAACTGAACCCGGGTCTCTCTGGTCTGCAGGCCGATGCTCTAACCTCTGAACCAAACAGGCCAGGGCTACTCTTCATTTTTTTAGTTGTAGCTTTTAGCATAAATAATTTCCAGGTCCCTTCCTGAGAACACATTGACTTTCAGAAAGTGGACAGCATGCGCGAAGGCAGCACCCAGCTCAGTGAGGGGGCAGGGCCAGAGGCCACAGAGGGTGGACAGCAAATATCTCACCCAGGGAATGCACCCATTACTTAGGAAGAATTTCCAAAACCTACCTAATAAAACTGGAATATTTTTTGGTTCTTTCAAAAAGTTTTTAAATAAAATTTTGAACAGTCAGCCCACTTCCTTATTCCAAACAGATATGAGAAGAAGACACACTGTCTTTCCCCCTCGTCCATCTGCACGCTGGGTTCTGTCGGCTGGCTGGCTGCACCCGTGCCCTCGTCCACGCTCACCCCTCACATGCCCGCTGCACTGGTCTGCAGAGAACAGGCCCTAGATGAAGGAAGAAATTCCGAAAGAAACTGTATTTCTCGATTTTGGAACACTAACTTTTGCAGGAGATGAAGTACCTCTGTGTTGTAGGAAAGCAGACTCTCTGAAGAGGATCCATTCACACAGAGAGTGGGTCTCAGCCAAGGGAGGCGGGCTTGCCCACTGAAAAATACATGTCGTATCTCTACAATGGTATGCCCCTCGTTTTTAGAGCAAATGGACTTGCAAATCTGTTCTTAGTCTTTGGTTCTTCTCTGACTGAGCGGCTCACCTTCCCACATTGTAAAGATGAATAAGTTTAACAGAATCATATAGGAGCTGACATAAGTTGGATCAGAGAGGTACAAACGAGCATGGGGTGGCATTTCAGAAGGCTGGATAATTCAGTAACGAAATGTGTCTTCTGTGCGGGGAGACGCAAAGGGCGGCCAAGCCATTTCATTCAACCAATCAAGTAGGGTCTTTCCTCCTCAGAGAGAGATGATGCTCTGGGGTAGATGCATTACAGGGCCAGGGCTTTAGGAAGAAAAAGGATGCTTTTCCCGCCTGCTAGAAAAGAAGGTGATTTAGACATATGCAAACAGTCCAGAAGAACCCAGCTGAGTCTTCCCTGGTGGAGGAGAGCCACAAATAAGGTAAAATTCCAATTTCATGAAGTTGATACCAGAGAGTGGAAAGATTTTCTCTTTCTGCTCTGGGTCATTGTGGGTGATTTTAAGTAATCATCATGGAATTTGCACAACACAAGAGCACAGTGGAGACTTGGAATCAATATATTGTCTGCTCTCTGGTCTGTCCAGTCTTTATATTAGGTCTTACATGCATGGTATCTGCTTGGGCATTTCTTCCCTCCTTGTAATTTTGATATGTAAATAGCTTCTTTCCCATAAGTTTTTTTATTTGGCTGCAGAATCTAATGACTTCATAAGAATAATTGAAGAAATGTAAATCCCCTCATTACTATCCAAGTGCCTTAAATATAGTACAAGCTCCATAAATACTCATGAAATGAAGCTTTGCTTAATCAACACCTGTTTGAGGTAAATAAATGCAAGCATCATTCATCCGGGTGCAGGCCACACTCTGAAGGAGATTCGCTCCTGCTGTCGTCCCCAAAAAAGTTATCTTCATGAATATTTAAATAAGTGCCACCTTTTTATAAAACATAAAAATCTAAAAAGAGAGCAGATGGCAGGTGCCCTCTACAACGTGACTCTGTGCTACACCCACAACCCCCACCACAGATTCGATCCCACCAGGACGCTTGTAGATGTCTGAGTATTTCTCCCTGCGGCAGTAGCGTGGATCCTCTCTCCCAACTCCAACCAGTCTTCCTGAGGCGGGAAAACTGCGCACTGCTCGGCCGCGGTGCGTGACCTGGTCTGCACCTGGAGATGCGCGGCAGGGGATCGGGGAGAGACAGGAGGTGGTCCGTGCGTGTGCTGCTTCTTACCATTGACAAGCACAGCCGGGGAAGGCGCTGGTTTCTCTGTACCAGCACCTGGTCTGGAGGATTGTGAACACCAAGAAGCAGTGCTGTGTTACCTATTTCCTGGCCTGGATCTCGGCTGAGGTGGTGCGGTTCTGAACCCGGGATCTGCCTGGCAGTCCCCCAGCTGATGGATCAGCTACCTCGATGGGCAGTGCCTGTTGCTGTTCTGATTGCACCCTGGAAACTCAGCCCGGAGCTCGTTGCTGACCCTGCAACTATTTTGTTTGTTTGTTTGTTTGTTTATTCTCACTCGAGGACATTTTGGCATTTATCTTCAGATAGAGTGGGAGGGAGAAAGGAAGGAAGAGAGAGAGAGAAACATCGACGTGAAAGGGCCACATCGACTGGCTCCACCCTCATGACCCCAACCAGGGCTGGGGACACACCGCAACCGAGGCACGTGCCCTTAGCGGGAACCAAACCCAGGACTCTCTGGTCCGTGGGCAGGCGCTCTAACTACTGAGTCAAACCAGTCAGGGCCCTGCAACTATTTTGTAAGCACCTAATTATTTTCTGCTCAACTAGCTACTAAAACACTTCCATCCTCACATCTTTTTCCTTCTCTTCTTTCTTTGCGTTGCAATAATCAAGCAAGTTAAGGGGGAAAGAGATTTTTCTAAAAAACTCAAAGCTTTCTACGTCAAGATCTAAGCATGGACAGCGACAGCACAGAATTTTAGCATGAGCCCTAGACGAGGAGGGCGGTGGGTGTGAAGTAACGTCCTGCTACACAGGATACAAGAGGGCTTTTCTGGGAAGAGAGGGACTGAGCAGAGGGTAAGACAGAAAGTGTCCAGACTCAAGGTTCCCGACTCACTCCTCAGAAGGTTAAAAGAAAAGCCTGTGGAGAGAAGGAAAAATACCCAGACAGTTCAGGCCCGAATTGGTCAATACCAACTCTCTCCTGACCTAGGAAGACAGCAAGCCTCTTAGAAAAGTCCCACATTCAACCTGAGAGAGTTACGGTAGCAATATCTAAGGCCAAGCGGTCATAAGGACAACTCTGTAGGCTCTACTCCACAGTGACACAGAAAGAACCATCAAGAGTCTTGCCCACCTCTTGCTAGGCGGATAGAAGCAAATAATACGGGAGGGCGAGGGGTGGCGGATGACTTTGGTCAAGAGGATGCAGCTGCAAACTTGAGAGATTTTGCTGCTGGAGGCAAAGGCCAGACGCTAACATGCTACCTCAAGGCCAGTTGGGCCAGAGGCACCTCAGAGGATGTCAGGTCAACAAGTTCAGGAAAAGGGACACCCAGGAACATCACTGCAGGTGGCACAGTGACAGAGACTGACTGGAGTCCACGCAGAACACAAAACCTCTAGCACAGGCCCGTGAGACCGCCTATTACTTTCCTGATGCCAAAACTATATGTACACTCTTCTGTGAAAACAGGTCACCCCTGAATGGTAGAGAAGGACAAAGAGGAGACATAAAGAAGACATGGGAGACTACGAATGTACATCAACGTAGCTGAGATGAAACCGGACAGTGATTATAATGATCTTTGAATTTAGCTAGGAAGTTACCAATTGGACAGAAAATACCCGAATAAGAAAAATTAAGTTGACTAGTCAGTGCAGACTGAGAGACTCAAGGACAAAGTGAGCTTAATTATAAAAAATAGAATTAATTTTTTTCTTTTTTTAAATTTTATTTTCTTTATTGATTTTAGAGAGAGAGGGAGAGGGAGAGATAGAAACATCAATGAGAGAGAACATCAATTGGCCGCCTCCTGCATGCCCCTCACTGGGGATTGGGCCCACAACCTGGGCATGTGCCCTGACTGGGAATCAAACCAGTGACCTCTTGGTGCATGGGTCGACACTCAACCACTGAGCCACACCAGCCGGGCTAGAATTTTTTTTTTTTTTTTTTGTACAGACAGAGTGGGAGGGAGAGAGAGGAAGAGAGAGAGAGAGAGGGAAATATCAACGTGAAAGGGACACTTCGAGTGGCTGCCACCTGCACGACCAACCAGGGCCGGGGACAAACTGCAACCAAGGTACATGCCCTTAGCGGGAACCGAACCCGGGTCTCTCCGGACCGCAGGTGGACACTCTAACCGCTGAGCCAAACCGGCCAGGGCTAGAATTAATTTTTTTAAACACATTAGTCATTATGTGTAAATTTTGACCCTACTATAATAGGTAGAATTTGAGTGCTTGCCATGTGCCTAATTAAATGAAATCAACATTGTTTCATTTACTCTTGGTGTAGTCTAATTCTCTTTATTGTATGGGTGAGCAAAGTGAATCACAAATATTCAATAATTTACCCAAGGATGAGCAAATTATATGTATGATAAAGATATGATAAAGCCATCCCTACAGCAAAGCAGTATTTCACAAGACTCTCCAAGGACTAAAATAATCAGTTACTTGAAATGTTTTCTTCCTTCCTCATCCATTTGGCAGCCACAACCATGCAGATACTAATGATTAGTTTGAACTATGGGTGTGAGAAGAAGAAAATTCATCTTACCAAAGTTAAGATTTTCTTTCCATAACTAGAGTTCGCTTTCTTTGCCTTTTTCTTAATATTTCCAACTTCGTGGAAACAGACACTGACTAGAAAACAAACAAACAAAACCATCAAGGTGTTTGGACCTGGACTAGGGTGTAGTTGCTATAAATCAGATATTTCTAAAGTCTCCTTCCTCGACTAATTTTCTGTGTGGCTGATTCACATAAGACGGATGGACTGGTAGATATTCTTCATCTCTAAATCCTGAAGCGAGGATCATGAAATCAAAGCACACGTTATGTTAAAACTCCGAATCAACGTGAGTAGGCTGCCGTAAAACACAGAACTGCCCGTGGCGCTCAGGTCCCTCTGCCCGCCCTGGGGACGGGGCCGGATGCGCTGTTTGTCAATGACCACAACTGGAATCCACACTCGTTTCTGTTTCTTTACAGTTGTAAAACCCTTTGCTCACAGCCCGAGTCAGACCATGCCGGCAGACAGACGACACCCGGTGCTGGACACCCCTGCCCAGCCCTGTCTTCCAGACTCCATGCCCGTGTGCTCTGCCCATCGAGCCATCCCGAAACTGGGGAGGCGGGCAGGGTGCCAGCCGCCGGCTCCGAGCGGGAGAGCCGCACCGGCCCGGCCCGGCCCAACTGGGAGCCAGAAACCAAGCCCCCAGCCGCGCGGTGCCGGTCTCAGCCTCGCTGCTTTGCTGAGCCGCCAGGGCACGGCCAGGGCCACGGAGCAGGCTCTGGAGGGCGGTCTCCACAGCTGTGCCGCCCTTGGCAGGCTGCTGAGCGGGGACTCTCCCAGAGGACCCAAAGCATAGTCCATTCCACTGCAGTGCTGCCTTCTGACGTTTTTAGTTCAAAAAACCAGGAATTTCTCAGCATGTCTTGTTTGCTTTTATAAGCACTCACTTAATATATTGAATGAATACATGAATTGAATGCATGATAGAACTGATCAGAAAAGCAAGGCTAACTATGTAAAAATAGAATTTTAAGGCAGCTTTTCTTCCGCCCCACATGCCAAGGAATGAGGGATGAGCAACGCTGTCCCACCTTGGATGTCCTCAAGATGCACCTGGGGGTCTTGTTGTAGCACAAGTTTTGACTCGCTGGGTCTGTGACTGGGCCTGAGTTTCTGAAAGTCTGAGAATCTCCCAGGTGATTCTGTTGTTTCAGACCAACTTTTGATTAGCAATGTCCTAGTCGGCATCCACTAACTGGCCTGACCATCATCAGAATCTTCGTGCACCTCTCAGGTCAAGCAAACCATCCATGGTTAATAAAGTAAGTAATCTATAAATAAACATTACATCAAGATTGCATCAGGGAGAGAACAGACGTGGTGGTTTATTGAAGGCACAGTGTAATTTTCCTAGTGATGCCGGAAGAGCGTTTACATGAAGACACCTTCTCGTTCCTAAGCCGCAGAATGAATCTCCGAAGGTGTTATCCAGTGAATGCGGTGTGGTCAGCTTCGTGCCATGGCTTAAATTCACCAGGCAAACCTTCAGTTATAAGACGTCTTCAGACCTAGGTATAGTTCTTCCCAACTTCTTCGTAAATCTCATTCTCATGAAGAACAGAAAAAAATAGTGAAAACCTGATTATTATCTCAGAAGATAATGATCTTTAAACAAATGTTTAAATTTTTAACATTTGTTATTGCTGAAAAGAAGTAACACAGTAGAGAGCACAATGGAATTTACACTGAGTAGAATTACAGATGAAATTGATTGTGGTTTTCCAGAAACCAAAGTCTTTGAGACAATGGAAAAGACAACATATTCCCATAGATGATTTAAAAGCATAATTTTGGAAAAAGATACTCATTTGTTTACAGTGGCTTTAGGGCTCATATTCATGTATAGTGGCTTCTACAAATTAAGTAATTACAGGAGTGTCTCTACTTAAACATTTTTTTTGTTAGAAACAAATATTCAAAATTGTGGCCATGCTTAACTAAGAGATAGTATGCAAGCTTGAATCTTATTAAGACTTAGCTAGTAAACATATAACCTAAGATGCGGAGCACTGAGGTGGTCATATTCCCAAGGTCATGACAGTCGTCAATCATCCATGCAAGGTTCCTGTCTTGTTTTCTTTTATTCTTCTTTCTTACCCTCAACCTCCACTCCCAATCTCCTCCTCTATGTAGACAATTACTGTAATGTGTTTGGCATTTTTCTTGGACGTGTAGATATATTGAAATACTGTACTATTTTGTTTTGTATTTATGTTTTAAATTTGCCCAAGTAAATCATGTTATAGATCTTATCTTACTTTTTCCTCTCAACATTATGAATGGAAGATCTTTCTATATAGCTCTGTCTTTACTTTGTTACCTCTGTGAGTGTTCACAATATTTCCCTCATCTGTTCCCCTAGAACAGCGGTTCTCAACCTGTGGGTCGTGACCCCTTTGGAGGTCGAACGACCCTTTCACAGGGGTTGCCTAAGACCATCGGAAAACACATATTTCTAATGGCAATTCATAACAGTAGCAAAATTACAGTTATGAAGTAGCAACGAAAATAATTTTATGGTTGGAGGTCACCACAACATGAGGAACTGTATTCAAGGGTCGCGGCATTAGGAAGGTTGAGAACCACTGTCCTAGAGATAGATACCTAGGTTGTCTATAATGCCCTGCTGCACAAATGAGGCTTATGCAAACATTCTTCCACGTGCCTCCTTGGGGACCAGAACACAAGTCCCGCAGTGGTGGAATGGATGGATCACAGCACCTATGCATACTAAATTAAACTAAATCTCTCCAGATTCGCATTTTGAGCCTACAGTCTTTGCTTTACCATTTTTCTGTTGGTTTCCTATATTTTATAAGGGTCTCTTAAATATTCTAGATATTATCTCTTATCAGTTTTGAATTCTCAGATAATTCCTCCCATCCTATGTATTTCCTGTTGGTTGACTTTATTGATGGTGCCCTTCATGACTTCCTTTCCTTGGAGAGTTTGAGATCGCGAGGCTGTGAGTTACAACATGAGGTAGCAGCCATAGTGATAAAAAGGCAATAATATAAATGGTAGAGAAAAAAGTTAGAAAGAAACTAGGTTCCTGATGGCATCACTAAACAAATGAATCAATTCTATCAAGTTTTATCACTATAATTTATGTTGTGAGAAAAGTAAACCACTAGCTGTTTGAGCATGGCTAAGGTCTTGTGACTTGAAGTTGAATTCATTCTAAAGTATACACTCCCTGTGTTATAGTAAGTTTTCCCAGAAGCTGATTCTAAGATAAGAATTCAAGATATAAAAATCCTATATAAAATATTAACAAAGTACAAAGATATATGAAAAGGACAATATAGCCCTGGCCGGTTTGGCTCAGCAGTTAGAGTGTCGGCCTGCGGTCCAGAGAGACCCGGGTTCGGTTCCCGCTAAGGGCACGTACCTCGGTTGCAGTTTGTCCCCGGCCCTGGTTGGTCGTGCGGGTGGCAGCCACTCGATGTGTCTCTTTCACGTCGATGTTTCTCTCTCTCTCTCTTCCTCTCCCTCCCTCCCACTCTATCTGAACAAAAAATGGGAAAATGTCCTCGGGTGAGGATAAAAAAAAAAAAAGGACAATATACCAAGATCAAATCTGGTGGGGGGTGGGTGAGGGGAAGAGATTAACCGAAGAATTTATATGCATATGTGCATAAGCCATGGACACAGACAATAGTGCGGTGAAGGCCTTGTAGGGGGAGGCAAGGGAGCTGGGTGGAGTAAAGGGGGTAAAGGGTGAGGGGACATCTGTAATACTTTCAACAATAAAGATAAATTATTTTTTTAAAAAAGATCAAATCTGGCTTATTCTAGTGATACTAGGCTGATTTAACATTTGAAGATCAATGTGATTCACTACATCAAAAGATTAAATTGGAAAAATCACATGATCATCTCAGTAAATGCAGAGGAATGCTTTTATTAAATTAAGCATCTATTCATGATAAAAATTGCTACCATACTAGAAATAGATGGGAACAGCTTATTGTGTGAAAAGCTATCTTTGAATCCTACTGTAAAAATTACACTTAATGGTACAATATTGAAAGCTTTACCTCTGAGCATGAAGACGGGATATGGATGTCTGCTGCGGCCCCTTCTAATTACTCTCTCTTAGCTATTGCAATAAGGCAAGGCAAGAAAAAAATTGGAAGAAAAAACCACAACTGTCCTTTTTCTAAATGATATAAATTATTAGAATTAATACATGAATTAAGAACAGTCACAATATTCAAAATCTGTTTTATATCTACTAGTAACAAATAGAATTTAAATAACAGTTATAATGAGATTTTAAAAACACCTACCAGTTTGGAATAAATCTAATGAAAACTATGCAAAAACTCTATAAAATAGTACTAAGAGAAATTAAAGAATGCCTAAGTAAATCATGCAATGTAGTATGTTCATGTATTGAGTGAACACTGTAAAGATGTCAATTCCATGGTTGATCTACAGATTCCATGAAATTCCAAACAAATCTCAGCAGGTAGGGCGTGTGTGTGCATGAGAGAGAGAGAGAGAGAGAGAGAGAGAGAGAGAGAGGAGAGAACTGGCTAACAATGTGTGAGCAATCCAGTTTCTCTGCATTTTCACCAGGATTTAGAGTTGTCACTATTTTTCATTTCAGTCATTCTGATAGGCAATGATGGTAGCGTTGGGATTTTAGCTTGAATTTTCTTATACTTTACTGATGTTGAATATCTTTCCATGTGCTTAATTTGCCATCTCTATATCTTCATGTGCTAATTGGGTCACTTGCTTATTTGCTGTTGAGTTTTGAGAGTGGTTTATATATCCTAGATACTAGTCTTTTGTCTGATGGGTGGTTTGATAGTCCTTCGTCAGGTGGGCATGCTGTCTCGCATTCTGTTGCTTGTCTTTTCATCTTCTTAACAGGGTCTTTCACAGAACAAATTTTCATAAACTCCTAGTTATCCATGTTTCCTTTTCTAGATTGTGCTTTAGTGTCAACTTTTAAAATATTTGCCCAGTCCTAGATACTGCAATTTTTCTCTTATTTTTCTCCTAAACTTTTTATAGTTTTGTGTTGTACTTTATGTAAAACTTGTGATTAATTTTAACTTTTGTATAAAGCATGAGGCTTAGATTGAAGGTTTATTTAGTTATTTATTTTTATCCTCACGGGAGGACATTTTTGCATTTATCTTCAGATAGAGCAGGAGGGAGAGAGGGAGGAAGAGAGAGACACATCGACAAATGGTCCTAGAACAATTAGACATACATACGTTAAAAAAAAATAGCCCTGGCTGGTTTGGCTCAGCGGTTAGAGCGTCAGCCTGCGGTCCAGAGAGACCCGGGTTCGGTTCCCGCTAAGGGCATGTACCTCGGTTGCAGTTTGTCCCCGGACCCAGTTGGGGTTGTGTGGGTGGCCCTCTCTCTCTCTTCCTCTCTCTCCCTCCCACTCTGTCTGTACAAAAAATGGAAAAATGTCCTCGGATGAGGATTAAAACAAAAAAAAAAGAATAGTTCTAGTTATTGTAGCTTCTTTTTCTTTCCATATAAATTTTAGAATAATCTTATCTATATTTATTTAAAATGTGGCTAGGATTTAGATAGGATTTGTATTAAACCTGGTCATTAACTTGGGGAGAACTGACATCTTTTTTTATTTTGAGTCTTCCAATACATTAATACATATCTCTCTCCATTTATGGGGGATGTCCCTTAACTTCTTTCATCAGCATTGTCTACTTTTCAGTATACAAGTCCTGTGCAAATTTTCTTAAATTTACACTGAAGTATTTAAAATTGTAGGAGTGATTTTAAATGTCATTTTAACATCAGGGTCCATAAGTTCATTGCTAATGCACAGACATTCAATGGATTTTTATGTTTATCTTGTATCCTGCAACTTTGCTGGACTTAGCTATTAGGTCTTCTCATGTTTTATTTGTTTAGTCTCATTCTTTTTCTCATTTTGTGGACATTTAAGCCCTCAAGAATCTAATATATACTACTTTCATAGTATAAATTCCATGACAATTATATCTGAACGTCTTGAGGGTCTAATTCCACTGGCACTGATTATTTCATGCATGGCTTATATTTTAGAGCAGTGATTCTCAACCTGTGGGTCGCGACCCCTTTGGGAGTCGACCTTTTCACAGGGGTTGCCTGAGACCATCGGAAAACACATATTTCTAATGATGATTCATAACAGTAGCAAAGTTAGAGTTATGAAGTAGCAACGAAAATAATTTTATGGTTGGGGGTCACCACAACATGAAGAACTGTATTCAAGGGTCGCGGCATTAGGAAGGTTGAGAACCACTGAGTTAGAAGCTGTAATCTCTTCTTTGGAGACACATTATGAGCAGGAACTCAGTATAAACTAGTTTATGCTGTGTTTGAGATTTTACATGTTCTCCTCAGCACTCCAGAGACAGTATTACTTTAGGAATGTTTTTTTAATGTCAATTAAAAATTTATATATGCATTAGAGCTATTCATAATTAAAATTTATCTGAGACAAAAATTTTCTATGAAAAAAGAAATTTTTCTCTTATGCTGGTGAAGTAACAAAAGACTGGAAATAAGACAGGATTTTTTTAGTCCATATTGCACTCAGAATTAAACTTCCAGCATCTTTGAGTTCAAATTTCCCACCTCATAAATCCCGTTTTCTTTGACCATTACGACCAAGTCCCTTGGTTCGTGAGACCCATATCCCATCCCCAGGGCACCCACAGATCAATGCACATTTTGTTTCTCTGGCCTTTAGCAGAACTGCTCACCTCCATTTTGGACCCTTGCTGATTTCCTTTACTTTCTTAGAACTCAGTTATGCATTTAAGGTTACATGTGATACATTGTCCTACATTTCAGGATATTTGGCAGTATGATGGTTTTCATTCTATTTAGATAGATGTAATGTCAGTCGTTTCTTATTAGGCTGTTAAATTCTCTTAATTAACATTTTACTTAGAATTTATTATCTAGGCTCATGTGTAAAATAGACATATGATTTCATTTATTACTTTTACTTGGCTTTGTAGCCAAGGTTATAGTAGCCTCTAAATGAGTTGAATGGCTTTAATGTTTTTCTATTTTCTAGAACAATATATATAATAGAGAGAGATTCTATTACTTAAATTTTTGGTAAAATTCTCCTATGAAAGAGTCCAGGTCTGAGACTTTACTGGCAGTAGGTCACTGATTTTCATTGCTGTTTTAAAAATGATTATTGATTTATTCATGTTCTCTATTTTCCTTACACCAATTTTGGCATTTTTAGAAATTATCCATTTCTCCAATGCTTTCAACTATATGCATATATTTCTGCACAGTATTTTTATTGTCTTAAATCCTCTACTATCTATAATTTTAGGAAGTTTTTGGGTTTTTTTTCTGTATTTTGTCTTCTTTCTTCTTGTCTAATCTAGATTAGTCCTGGTAGAGGTTATTCTCTCAAAAGTGTTTGAAAACCAACTCTTAATTTTGTTCTGTACTGACAATGTTTAGACAAAGAACACTAAAGTTAATGTCCTCCAGATATTTTGGTTATAAAAATGTTTCCTATAACTATAAATCCAAATTATCATAATGCAAACAAGAATTTAATTACATCTAGATAGTGCTCAAGATCTATGGGGTTTCTTTCCTATTCTAACCGGGATGAAAGTATGACCAGTATTTTTATTTGCCCTCTTACACCTGCTGATCACCTGGCTATCATCTGTGTCACCCGTCCTTATGAACAGACCACTAGGACACTCAAAGCCTCTAAGTTACTATTGCAACAGCTTTAGTCTAAAAATTACCTCATCATGACAAATATCCCATTCTATGAGATAAATCATAGTCCCTAAGAAAACAAAAATGTCAGCTCCATGTTCATTGATAAAAATGTTTGCTGTGGGATTATTCCCTGCATTTTCTATTTAAAAGAAGATAAAAAGCTCAGTGAGCCCTGAGTTTCTTCATAGGGGCAATAAAATTAAGAGGCACAGAACTTTAAGATTCAAAGGGACCGTAGACATCCAATAGCTCCTCACCCTCATCTTGCAGTTGAAGAAATCTTGGCCTCGGGAATCAACAGGTACAACATGACACGTAAGAACCAGAACTCACTCGGACCCCTGATGATAGCCTGATAATGAACTGAGTTCTTTTCCTTACTGAAACCTGGTAGAAAGAAAGCTAAATCGTCAGAGACTAAAAATTTGGCAGTACTGAAGAGAGATGGACAATGAGAAGTGCAGGCAGGGAAACAGAACTTAGGGGGAGATTCTATAAGGCAGCAGGAATGGGAACACCTGAACCTGAGAACACTACTTACGTCACCGTATGATGATAAAAAGGGATAATTTTTAACTTTTTAATTCATACCATTTTTGTACATCAGAGCCAAAGATTCCATTTGTCGCATATTACTCATATTGGTATTACTTTCTCATTGTAAAAACGACATCTTTACCTGCACATTATCCTGACAGTTCTAGAGGATCTGCTAACGAAGAGCAGGTGTCAACAACCCTCCTGCTAGATAATGCTGACTCATGCCGGGAGTGCCTGTCTGTCACATTTGCGATCTCTGAGGGAGAGGAAAAAATGTAATGTAATGTAATTTAAGCTCAGAGCCTAATAGTCCATGACCTTTAAACTCTGAAACCGGTGCTACTGCCCACATGGTAAATGCAATTAGAAAATTTGATTTCCTATGTTGTAGGCAATGAAATTTGTTTTAATTGACACTGATATATATTTGTAATAACTTCTGTATAAATTAAAAATCAATGCCAGTTTCAACTCTCCGGATAATTTTTTACTGAACAGACAAAATTTCACAGGGGCCGAACATTTGCAAATGGCAAAACAACAAATGAAATGAAAAACCAATGCGAGCACTCAACTGTTCTACACCCAGAAAAGGTCGTCCAGCTATAGGGCTTCCCAAGCCCATGGCGCAAACTCGCCAGGTCCTCCGGTTGCTTCAGAGTTTAGGGAGTTTCCCAAAATATTATGGCAGGTCGCTCAGTCACTTCTACCATTTCTCCACGCCTACCCTCAGACTAAACACAGTCTCCGCTTCCTTCTCTTTCCTGAGACCCTGTGGTCCTGCTTTAAGTGAGACACGGCTGAGCCCAATGGAGTGGTCCTCACCCCAGTCCGGCAGGGAACCTGTGATCAGAGACTGCGCATTGGGAGGTGGGTTACACCCGAAGCCCTGACCAGGGACCAGGCTTGGACTGCACTCCACTAACCAGAAAAGTCAGCACACATGGGCCCCGTGTGTGAACACGCATTCACGTGTGCCTGCACGTACACACGCCCCGCTATGTAATTGGTCAGAGGCCTGCGGCTGAGGCGGTTCTGACTTCCAGCTGGTATTTAAGGGCAGATCGCTCCCAGCGCCCTCCATCCAGGGAGGGCGCGGCGCTGGGCTGGGCCCTGGGCGGTTCAGGGCACCGGGCAAAGGGAAACGGAGCTTTCCTGAAAGAATAACCAGCCCCTCTTCAGTCTGCACTAAGCTCTTCCTTCCTTTTCAACTGCCGGCTGGAACCTAACAGCACTTTAACATACAGCAACGGCGGCACACAGGGAAAGCTGTCAGGGCTATTATTCCCCTCTTCTCTTCCACTCTGATTTCGTCTGAGATTGAACATATCAGCGATTATGACTGTCAAATCTGGACTTAAACTTCCTAGACAATTTTGCAAGTATCCCCTGCTGACATCGGGCCATCTGGAGTTGGGTCCTCTGAAAGAATCCTGGTGTGTACACGAGCAGACCTGGTGGTTGACTACTGTGTTACCATTTGAAAGTTCCTTTTCCAGGGCTCCAAGCCTCCAACAAGAAATATGAAAATCAGGATTATATAACACAAATAATAGCATGCTTAGATATTCTATATTTTTATGTACTATTCACTTACCTATATTTTCCAAGGTTTCTACAATACTCTAGCATTGCTTTTGTTATAAAATAAAGGGTTTTTTTTACACTAGCATGAGATGGGCTGCAGGAAGAATGGGTAAGGAACATAAGTCTCCTTACATAGACCCAGAATACCCAAGTGTATATAAACAGAAGGAACTGCACCATTGTATGTAAGTAAACATACGAAGTCATGAAAGTAGAGTTAAGCTTGTGAAAACAGCCGGAATGGCCTCCCAAGAATATTTATATACACCCACAAAGACACTCATGTAACTCGCTGTCGAGACAACCCCGTGTTCACTTCCCCACGTTAACTTCCTTGCCAGTTTGCAGCTCTGGACACTCCAGCAGAGCCTCCTTTACAACCCTGTGCTGAGTACCCTAACCTTATTCTGACATATAAATTCAAATGGCAGTGAATTATAGTATGGGGAATATTCTCTGGTAACAGCACATACACGCACACGCAAGCACGCACGCAAAAAAACCTCACCAAACTTACCAATGTCACGCTTTTTGAAGAGAACTAAGGGACCAGGGGAAAAGGGGAATGGTTAAAAACAAACAAACAAAAGACCTATTTCCTTCCTTCAAGCCAAAAGTGCTAAATTGTAACTGCCTTGTAAATTTCTACCAATCTGTCCCCCACTGGCTCTCAGGCAGCCGTTCTCTTGGTTGAACCCTCTCCTGGAAGGTGCTTGCCCGGATGTTGGTGGAATCATTACTGGGAGGTTTTTCTCTGCAGGGAAGAAAGTCAGAGTAGTAGTTCCCTTCTTTAGGGGGTGCAAAAAGGTATTTCAGGAGGCAGTAAGCCTTTTCATTTAAAAAATAAAAAAGACTTTAGTTCCAATCATAATTATATTCTCACAAAGAAACTCAGAAATGGGATTTTCTTTTTTGGTAGATCAATGGCTTTATCCAAGCAACAGCTCATGAATAAATCTCTTTTTAAAGACTTAAAATGTGACAAGCTCATTATTAGAAAATATTCAAATAACTAAGTATATGGCTTTAAGGGGGAAAATTGTGGTACAGTATTCTGAACCAGAGCTGCATTCTCAATGATGTGTTTTTTTTAAATTATTGGGCAAGTGCATTTTTAGTTAGATTAACGTGTATCTTCTGTGAGATCACTTTTCCTACATATTTCAACTGTAACAAAATAATGCAACACTAATCTGTAAGACTTTTTTCCGTAATAGATGTTTTTCCTCAGTAAATCAATGCAAAGGCTAATTGGGGTGGAAGGTGACTATCTCTCGTGGTTATAAATACATTTGCATTGCTATCAATCTTTTCCACTACCAATGTTAAACGAGGCTGAACAACCTAGAGAAAAATGAAATTCAATGTTAGCACGTAGTAAATGCTGCCATCAAGTGGCCAAGTGGAGAGTTGCCCTAACAAAAAATAACGTTGTCAACTAAATTACCAACGTGTTTAAAACCTGAAATCAATCTTATCAGAGCTTAATGAGCATTTTGATCATAAGCAGGGGCTTTAAAACTATGCCCTGTGGGCCAGGTCTGTGGCCTGTATGGTATGGCCCTCAAGCTAAAAATGTGGCCTGCAAAGCCAACCAAAAACTACAACCAAAAACTACAATACTCTGCAAGTGAATATTCTTTAGTTCTGGGAAGCTTATTGCTAAATAGTATGTCTTCACCCCAAATCCTGTCTATAGCAATGTCATATGTTGGTGCCATTAAACTTGAACTATTTAATGTTAAAAGTCATTGAACTCTATTTTCTAATGTTAAAAATAAATTCTTTAATAATATTAGCACCTAATATGTATAAATTTGTTTTAATAATTTTTACTATTCACTGCTTAGAATTAACTTTGAAGTACATGGGATATGTCTGAGTTATGAGAAACAGCGTCCTTATAACACAACCTGATATTTTCACATATTAGGTAGTAGGAGATACGGGTTTTTAACTTATTAAAGATTGGCCCTTAAATCTCTATGATTAATTGTAATGTCAACCTATTTACAATTATGCATGGCAGGGAAGAAAAGTATGATCCAGAAGTGAGAATTACAAAAATGTATACGTTTTTAAAATCAACACATTTTAATGATGTTCATGAGAAACTAATTTTTCTCATTTAAATAATGACATACGTAAAAGCATTGAGCCCTAGTTAAGATGTTTATTCTCAAAGCTGCTCCAAGAGATGCTGGCAATTAAACAGTTGATCATTGCTCAATGAGCAAACACATTTTTTTTTTTTAAGTTTTTTTCTTTATTTTAGAGAGAGAGAGGAAGGGAGAGGGAGAGAGAACATCAGCTGGCCGCCTCCTGCACACCCCCTACTGGGGATTGAACCCACAACCTGGGCATGTGCCCTGACCGGGAATCGAACTGGTGACCTCTTGGTGCATGGGTTGACACACCAGGCAGGCAGCAAACACATTTTAAAGATACATTTCACAATCAATACAACTCTGAAAGTAAAGGCTGGCTCTCGGGTTTCCAAAGCTCTATAAAACCTGTGGTATAAGGAATTTCTCAAGGTGTGCTCAGCAGGCCACTTGCAACAGAACCATCTGAAGTTCTTACAAAAAAACAGATTCTTAGACTTCACTGTGGACCTACGGAGTCAGGATTTCCAGGGAGAAAAGGATGGAATTTGAATTGTTGACAAATCCCACAGGTAATCTCGGTCACCTTAAAGAACCACTGCATTTTAGTAAATGAGAGATGAAGGTAAACTTATTTTTGTATGTGTAGCCAATGGACATAGACAACAATGATGGGGAGGGGGGCGGGATTGGGAGGAGGGTATCTGGAGGGGAAAAGGAGAAACATCTGTAACAAAAATAAATTAATTAATAATTAAAAAAAGAAAAGTAAACTGATTTTCTCAAGATCACAAAACTAGTGTTAGAATCAGAAATAGAAGCCAGTGTTTTTGCCCTTCAGTCCAAAATTCATTATCCTATACTACACAAACTGGAAGATACTTTCCATTTCAAGTCTCAGAATCCTTATGCTATCATTGAGAGCTATTAACCAAAGACAGTAAAGACACTTTTTAAGTTACATCTTATGGTCATTAATAAGTAAAAAAATAAAAGGTGCTAGCCTATTAAAAAAGGAAAGTATAACAGTATAAGGTCTCTTATTACTCATCACCATTAAAACTAATAGCTGACTTCCTGTAAAACCAACAGTGTAAATTGTCTCTAGACTTTTCTTTAGTAGGAAACCAAACAAAAATAAGATCAAGAAACGTAAATCTGAAGATGAACCTCAGTGTGTTAGACTGTTTGCCCAGAGACAGGCACAATAACCCCTTCTATAACTAGATGCATAGCCTTTTACAAAGTGACTTTGCCACCCTTGAAACTGGAGCCCTCAGTAAACCTTACTTTATACCACAGACTGGAAGGTATTGCCAGGCTAAATAAGAAAACATATAGACAGGGGTGAGAAAGAAATTGTCAGTGGTGAGTAGCCCTGCAGAGAAGCAGGGAAAATCACAGGGGATGGGAGGAAGGGAGGGAGAGAAGGGAGGAGGGAGAAAGGAAGGAAAATGCTTGCATACACACTCACACACACACACACACACGTGACTTCACTATGTGCCAGAGAGTCTTCAAGCCAATGCAGAGTTGCGTTATAGCCTAGGGTAGAATATTAGTG